ATTTATTGTTAATGTTTGACAAAGTTTAAAAACTTATCCCTCTGCACTTGTTGGCCATAGGGAACTCAATGGTAGATTTGTCCACGAAACTCTTTCTGAGGAGAGTCGCCTGCAGGTGATGTTGTAAGTCCCAGATGATTTTTAAGTTCAATCTCCGGTTAGAAGAAGACTACCCACTGGTTTATGGCTGTAGGACTTCAGTAACCCATGCTCCAGAAACCCCAGGTGGAGTCATAAATCCTGAGGCCAAACTTAAAAGAACATTACCTCCAGGCTTAGGACATTCTTGTGAAATAGGTTACAATGTTCAGTTAAACCCACCCATTCTCAAAATACCACCAGAACCACAGAATTAGCTCATTGTTACCCTGTACCTACCCCTTCTTAGTTTCCTGAAAAAGTCATATATTCTCAAACCCACCAATTATTTTAAAGGTCATCCTCAAACTAACCAATGCAATCTGCTTCAGTACACCACTTGCTCCCTCCCCCTTTTGTGGTTTTTGCCTTTAAACACTATACCCACCATGCTTAATGTGCGCTCTGTTCCTGCGTGTTCTGACCGCCCTGCGTGCACGTGGATAATAAAGCTTGCCGTTTGCGATTTACATGAGAGACCGATTCTTGGGGCCTTCCTTCGCGGCGACTCGACCCTTACATTTTGGGGCTCGTCCAGGATCGTCTCCCATGTGGGAGGACCCCAACGGCTGAAAAGCCTCTCGGGGTAAGTATGGCCGTATGATTTTATGTCTAAGTTTTTGTCTCATTTTTGTACTTTTTGTTTTGTTCTGGTTCGTGAGCGTTCAATCAGTCTGTAGTGACTGGGAACAAAACGCATAAGCGTTGCGATCCCCGTGGCGCTGTGGTCTAATGCTCGTAAGCCCTTGGACCATCTGTAGCCCAGGCCACAAGTCACACGTGGCCAGCATTTATCTATTGGCCCTGACCAGAGGCGAGGATTGGCAGACGTGCCTAGAAGTCGCAGGTCATTCAGCCTAGGGACACCCTGGCGTGGTTTTCGATCCTTGTATCCATCTGTACGTACCCTCCGAGGGAGGGACCTGTATGGCCAATAGATTCTGTTGGGTACCCGCCTGTGATTGTCCGTCATATTTGTCGTGTGCTTTTGTGTGTCTGGCGCCATAACTTCCTTTTTCTTTTCTACAGCGTTCCTGGAATTAATGTGACTTCCCCTTCCATAACAGGGTCACATGTTCCTGTCTACTTATTTGCAACAGCCTTTACTGTTTTTGCCTGCCTTTGTCCCCTTGGGATTTTGTGGGAGGCCGGGTATTTTCATAACATGGGACAACCAATGTCTACTCCTCTTGCCCTTACCCTAGGTCATTGGTCAAAAATTAAGGAGAGAGCACACAATCTCTCTCTCAATGTCAAGAAGGGAAAATGGCAGACTCTTTGCTCTTCAGAATGTCCGTCCTTCCAGGTAGGATGGCCTCCAGCGGGATCCATTTATCCATCCCTGGTACAAGCAGTAAGAACTATAATCTTCCATCCAGGCCACCATGGTCACCTCTACCAACAACCCTATATTCTAACCTGGCAAGATCTCTGTGAAAACCCACCAGGGTGGGTAAAACCTTTCCTTCCTCCTGCTTCATTCCAATCTGCTGCCCTTTTACCAGTTAAAGTTCAGGCTTCCTCTTTTAGTCTCTATCCGTCCCTGCCACCCCCGGTTCTGCCAGAATCTCAAACTGACTTGATCCATTTCGATCTAGAGACACCTCCTCCCCAATACATGCCCACCTCATCTCCTCCTCCTGCTGCTTCCCCTTCACCTACCTCTCCAGAGTCCTATTCTTCGTCAGACGACCACCATGGGCCGACACAGGGGACTCGAGGAGCCCGAAACAAACAAGCAAAGAGCCCACAGGATGTGGCCAAAACTCTTCCGCTCCAGCCCTATGAGCCAATGATTGACAACGGCCACAGAGGAGAAATGCCAACACTCCAGTATTGGCCATTCTCTACTTCAGATTTGTATAACTGGAAAAATAATAGTCCCCCTTTTTCCAAGGACCCTTCTAGGTTAACGGCGCTGTTAGAGTCGCTCATGTACTCTCATCAGCCCACTTGGGATGACTGCCATCAATTGTTGGGTACTCTATTTACCCAAGAAGAAAGTGAGGATCCTCACAGAGGCCAGGAAATTGGTTCCCAGACTGGGTGGTGTTCCAACTCAGATGCCAAACCTCATTGATGACGCCTTTCCCCTGCGCCGCCCAGACTGGGATCCAAATACTCCTGAAAGTAAGGAGCATCTGTCCATCTATCGCCAGACTCTTATGGCGGGTCTCAAGGCGGCCGCGTGCCAACCAACCAATTTGGCTAAGGCAAGAGAGATTAATCGGGCCTGATGAATCGCCTTCAGCATTCCTAGAGAGGATAATGGAGGCTTATCGCAGACACACTCCCTTTGACCCTCAGGATGAGGGGTTGCGAGGGTCAGTTGCTATGACTTTTATAACCCAATCAGCTCTAGATATTAGAAAAAAGCTCCAACGTTTAGACGGGTTACAGAATTCTACTTTAAGAGATTCGGTGAGGGAAGCTGACAAAGTGTTTTATAAGAGAAACAGAGGAGGAAAAAAAGTGCGAAAGGCGAGGGAAAAAGAAGAGAGAGAGAGAGAGAGAGAGAGAGAGAGAGAGAGAGAGAGAGGAAGAAGAAGAAAGAAGAAGAAGAAGAAGAAGAAGAAGAAGAAGAAGAAGAAGAAGAAGAAGAAGAAGAAGAAGAAGAAGAAGAAGAAGAAAGAGAGAAAAGAACACTAGAGAGGGAAAGAGAAAGGGACCGGAGATGTAGTAAGGAATTAACTAAAATCTTGGCTACAGTAGTACAGGGAAATGCAGATGAGAAAAAGCCATGCTGCCCTTTGTTAAAGCCCAACCAATGTGCCTACTGTAAAGAGATTGGACATTTCGTCAAGGAATGCCCAAGAAGGCCAAACAAGCAGCCCCAAAAGAGCCAACCGACAATGTTGGCCCTGGAAGGAAATGATGATTGGGGGGACGGGGCTCGGTTCCCCTCCCCGAGCTCAGGGTAACCTTTGATGTGGAGGGGACTCCAATTGATTTTGAAGTGGACACGGGTGCGGTGTTCTCTGCCCTTCAAAAACCTCTTGGACCTCTGTCCAGTCGAAGGACCTTGGTCCAGGGGGCAAACGGCAGTAGATACTGGACATGGACTACAAAGAGAACTATGGATTTAGGAAAAGGAAAAGTACAACATTCTTTTCTTGTCATACCTGAATGCCCAGCTCCCCTCATGGGAAGAGATTTGTTAACTAAATTAAGGGCCAGGATAACCTTTGAGCCTCAGGGGCCCCAGGTAACCTTCCTTAACCCACTGGTACATCGGCCTACGGCAGCTATGTTAACCATGGCCACCGAGGATGAATACCAACTCTATATACAACCTAAAGTCCCATCCATCTCTCAAAATTGACTGACAGAGTTTCCCGACTCATGGGCTGAAACTGCTGGATTGGGACTTGCTGTCTCCCAACCGCCTATAGTCATAACTTTGAAGGCATCGGCTACTCCAGTCTGCATTAAACAATATTATTTAAGCAAGGAAGCTCACCAGGGAATAAAAAGACACATACAAAAATTCCTTGACCTAGGAGTACTAATACCATATCGGTTGACCTGGAATACTCCTTTGCTGCTGGCCAAAAAGCCCGGGACTGGGGATTACAGACCAGTACAAGACCTACGAGAAGTAAATAACAGAGTAGAAGACATACACCCCACGGTGCCTAATCCGTACAACTTGCTCAGCACCCTGAGCCCTGAAAGGCCTTGGTATACAGTGTTAGACCTAAAAGATGCCTTCTTTTGTCTACCTTACATAAAGATAGCCAACCCCTGTTTGCTTTTGAGTGGACAGACCCAGATACAGGAACAATAGGACAGTTGACGTGGACTCGTCTTCCACAGGGGTTCAAAAATAGCCCCACTATCTTTAATGAAGCCCTCCACAGGGACCTGGCTACCTTCCGG